TTCTCTTAATACCTAGAATTGGCTGCTGTTCCAAAACTAGCAGGATTGCATTAGAAGTAGTTATGCCACACTATAACACAATTAATAAGCTATAGAAAGAAAAATAGCTTAATTTTATTCATTGAACTATTTTGTTGTCATCTGCAAACCAAATTGCAAAAAAAAATTGGTGGTTGTCCTATACTCATGATCTTCTATATATTCTGTACAAATGAATTCTTTTTTTTAAGATTTATTTGTTTTTCTTTCGAAACTCAGATATACAGAACGGAAGGGAAACAGAGAAAGAGTATTGTCTGATGATTCACTTTCTTTTTTTTGTTTGTTTGTTTGTTTTTTAAGATTTATTTTTATTATTTTTTTATTGGAAAGGCAGATATACAGAGAGGAGAGACAGAGAGGAAGATCTTCCATCCCATGATTCACTCCCCAAGTGACAGCAACGGCTGATGCTATGCCGATCCGAAGCCAGGAGCCTCTTCCGGGTCTCCCACACGGGTGCAGGGTCCCAAAGCTTTGGGCCGTCCTCGACTGCTTTCCCAGGCCACAGGCAGGGAGCTGGATGGGAAGCAGGGCTGCCGCCAGGACTAGAACCGGCGCCCATATGGGATCCCGGGTGTGCAAGGAGAGGACCTTAACCACTGCGCCACCGCGCTGGGCCCTGATGATTCACTTTCTAAGTGGCCAAAATAGTTGGAATTGAGCTGATCCGAAGCCAGGAGCTGTGATCCTCTTCTGCGTCTCCCGTGCGGGTACAGGATCACAAGGAAGCCGTCCTCAACTGCTTTCCGAGGCCAAAAGCAGGGAGCTGAATGGGAAGCAGGGCTGCTAGGACATGAACTGGTGCCCATAAGAGATCCTGGTGTGTGCAATGTGAGGACCCTAACTTCGAGGCTACTGCACCTGGCCACAAAAGCATTATTCTAAAGAGTGATTCTAAAAATTATAAGATTAAGCTTCTCATTTTATAATTTATACAATTATGTAATTGTAATATATGTTAGTCTACCCAGAAAGAAAAACATTTGTTCTCATTTTAAGTAAGCATATGCATTTCTTTTTATTATGTTCACTATCAAAGGATTCAAGATAAAAGACAAATCTCAATGGGAAAATGTCAAATATTCCTTCAAACATGTTCTACACAATTTCTCCCCTCCATCGTCAGGTCAAACACTCCTTACACTTTCCTCCACACTGTCCAATGCTTGACCACTGCCAATGATAAACAAAATACTTTTGTGGTTGAACTTTCCTCCACCACTGATTCACCCATAAAATCTGCCTTTATTCTAAGTTCTTCTTCAGTGTGGTGGTAAGAGTTTAAAACTAATTTCTTAGCACCAGAACACCTTTAAACATACAGGACACAGAAAATGAGAAGGGGTCACTGTGGCATAGCGGGTAAAGCTGCCAATGCCTGTGATGCTAGTATCCCATATGGGTTCTAGTTCCCAAAGTCCTAGTTCCTCCACTTCCAATCCTCTCTCCCTGCTAATAAACCTGGGAAAGCAGTAGCCAGCCATATTACTTGGGTCCATGGATCCACCCAAAGAGAAAGCTAGAAAAGGCTCCTGGTTCCTGGCCTCACCCTGAAGCAGGGATGGCCATTGCAGCAATCAAGGTAGAGAACCAAAAGACAGAAGATCTCTCGCAGCCTCTTCCCCTCTCTAAGTCTATCTTACAAATAAATAAAATAAGTCTTAAAAATTCTCCCTCTCGAGAGGAGCTTTCTCTGATCCTTACTTAGTTCCAACTTTGGATCCCCACCCTATCTTGCAATGACCATCAGGGTTGCTCTGAAGACCCCCTCAAACACACACACACACACACACACACACACACACACACGCACGCACGCACACACACACTAGATAGGCAGAGAACAACAGGGAAAGCTTGGAACCAGACAAGAAATGGTCAGTATGGACTCACACATACCTTACTAGCTAGGACACAAAGATTAATTACTCCTCACTAAGGTGTTGAAGATTTCTCTGCACACCCCTTCTAAAACTGTTCTGCACCTCAAATGCTGACATATGCCTTGTTAGAGTTATAAACCAGTTTAGACTATCCTAAATTCTGCCAAGTTCAGTAAAATTATGCTTCAACACTATATTGCTAAATACTAAAATGAAAATAGTCACAAGACAGCTGAACAGTAAACTATAGCCATTTTAAGATGTATAGCAGCCGGTTCTGTGTATAAACTAAAACTGAAATGTCAATGAAGTAGTCAGAGGATGCGGTTAAGAACTTGCATTCTTTTTCTCTCTCTCTCTCAACATATTGGTTACTCAATGCCACGTCAATTAATTCCATAATGTTGTAAATTGTTGTTGATGTTATGTTGTGGCTTTTAATTGATATTCTGCCAGCTCTGTCTTCGGACCAGAAATGGTCTCCCCAAGAAACTGTTAAATTTACCTGGACAATAAGATGCTGGACTCTATGCTTGGTATACTCTTGCAATGAAAGAATCTTGACTGAATTTGAAATGTAATACAGCAACAAGGTGGAGGAATCCACCATGGGGAGAGGATACAGGGAGGGGTTGGGTGATCCCTAGAGCCTATGAAACCGTGTCACATAATGCATTGTAATTAATAAACATATATATTAAAAAAATTCTCCCTCTCTCTTCTACTTGGAGCATTTTAATTGATTTATACTCAAGGAGACTGCTAAGACTCTCAAAATGTCAAAAAGTCTCTAAACAAAATCTAATTTACTGACTTAAACAGCCAACATTATCAATCTAATGTATAAAATAAATTGATGCCACAGAATAAATGAACATAAAATGATTATGAATAGTTGACACTTTCAAGTATACCCATTCACACTTGAGTTGAAGTATACATTTGCCAAAGGATGTATTATATATTTCAAAGGACATAAAAATATAGCTATCTCATGAAGACAATAATTTTCTTAAAGATTTGTTTATTGAAAGGCAGATTTACAGAGGGGAGATACAGAAAAAAAGATCTTCCATCCTGGATTGAGTTTTCAGATCCTGACTTTGGCCTGGAAGATTCCCAGTTGCTGCAAGCATCCGAGGAGTGAACCATCAGATGGGAGCTCTCTATATATCTCTCTACATCAGTCTGTCTCTGCCTCTCAAAGCAATAATAATAAATACCAAATAAATTTATAAAAATAGTTTCCTGAGACCAGTGCAGTGATGCAGCAAATTATTCCATCGCCTGCAGTGCTGGCATCCCATATGGGCACAGTTTGAATCCTGGCTGCGTCATTTCCCATTGACCTCCCTGCTAACGCTCTGAGAAAGCAGCAGAGGATGACCCAAGCATTTGGGTCCCTGCACCCACATGGGAGACCTGGGAAAAGATCCATGCTCCTGGCTTCAGACTAGCGCTACCTGTTGCAGCCAGTTGTGGAGCAACTAGCACATGAATGATCTCTTTCTCTATGTAAATATCCCTTTCATATAAAAGTAAATAAATCTTTAAAAAATATTTTAGTAGAAAAAAGTTTGCAAGACCTTTAGGGAGGACAAAAACAAGCCATATTAAAAAAAGAGAGAGAGCCTAGGATTGACACAGCAATACGAATATCTAGATCAACTTCAAAATAATCATCCCTGTAAACCCATCTGAGGTATGGCTACAGTTTAAACCAGCCACAAAACTACATATCATGCTAGCAAAAATTATATCATTCAAATATACCTATAATTTGCCACAATCCATTACAACTGCATTAAAAGACATTCCCTCTCCTTCTGTATATCAACCTTTTAAATAAATAAATAAATAAACCTAAGAAAGGGAGAGGGGTATGTTGTGGCACAGCAGGAATGTGAACACTGATTCAGCTTCCTGATAATGGACCTGGGAAAGCAGTGGAGAATAGCCCAAGTGGACAGGCCCCTACCACCCACATGGGAGACCCAGATGAAGGTCCACATTCCTGGCTCCCACTTTGCTCAGCCCTGGACACTGCAGCCATTTGGAGAGTGAATCTTCTCTCAGCAACTTCTATAAACCAATTTGAATAAATGAAGACAACCAATCAGCTTCAAGACACTGGATTTAATTATCATTTTCAATGAAAAGAACCAGGAATTCTTATATAAATAGCTGATTCTTCGTCAAAGAAATATACAATAGGCATTAGTATATTGCCAAGAAAATAAGAAAAAGACCATTTAAAAATGCTGACAGGGGCCTGGCGGTGTGGCCTAATGGCTAAGTGCCTCACCTTGAATGCACCGCACCGGGATCCTATATGGTTGCCGGTTCTAATCCCGGCAGCTCCACTTCCTCTCTATCTCTCCTCCTCTCCATCTGACTTTGTAATAAAAATAAAATAAATCTTTAAAAAAAAAATCTTCTGTATATACAAAGATTCTTCAAAAAAGCTCACAGAAATAGGATTAAGAGAGAATTGTTTTTTGGTACAAAAACACTTTGAATTCATATATAGATTTTTCATGACATGTTCCATGAAGTTTCAGAAGGCTTTTCTTATTTGCTCATCTTTGTGTAGAGCACCCCAACAAAGAAATTTTCAATCCCTTCCTACCACATATCACCATCACTACTACTTTGTTTTAATCTCCAGGCTCAATGCACAGACTCGTAAATTGATTGTCTCAAATTTTCATTTAAAAAAAGGTAAGGGACCAGCGTTCTTGCAGCATAGCAAATAAACTACTACCTTCAATGTCAGCATCCCACATGAGCATCTGTTAAGATTCTCGGTTGTTCCCCTTCCAACTCAGCTCTGTGCTAATGCATGCAGGTAAAGCAGCAGAGGATGCCGCCCAAGTTTTTGGGTCCTGCACCCACCGGGGAGATTCTGAAGAAGCTCCTAGCTTCAGCCAGGCCCAGTCCTGGTCAATGCAGCCCTTTTAGAAGAAAACCAGTAGATTGAAGATATTTCTCTTTCTCTCTCTAATACACACATACACAGTGTCACTCCCTCTTTCTCTGAATCTGCCTTTCAGATAAACAAAATCCTTCTTTCAAAAAAAAGGTGGAGGTACAAGTGTTCACAAGAATTTCCATTTTGAGTGAGGTATAGAATGACAAAGAAGTGTTAGTGTAACATTAAGCTACCAACAAGTGTATCAAAAAACAATCTACAGGAGCTGAATTTACACTTAGAGATCAAAAAATCCCAAAAACATCATACAGCCTAAGGAAAAAAAATTTTTAAACATTTAATAAATTAAATGAAATTGTATAAAATTTATAAATTTATAAAATTTAAATAGATAAGTCAAAAGTAAAGTTAAAGATACCTTTACCAATGCTATCTTTCAGCTTAACACTGTAAGAACACTTTAAAAAGATCTGAAACAAAATGAAGTACAGAATGATTATTTCAAGTAGAAAACAAGGGTTTATTTTCACTGAGAGACTGAGATCATGTCTCTAAAAAATTTCTAAGCTACAGCAACCCACAGGGAAAAACACCTGCTTAAAAGCATCACTATGATTTATAAAACAAAAAATACTTTCTCAAGCATTTATACAAACCATAATTTTTTTAAAAATCAAAAAGGAAAACTAGATGTTGTTAGCTATTAAATATGAGGTTTGTAATGTTTCTTGCTTCCAAAAAACTGAAAGAAGGAAATTGGGCTGAATGCATAAAAATAATTCAAACCTACCTTACATCCATCCCACTACAAAAGAACTGTATTTATGTGTGATCTAATGTCTTCTGAATGTTACTTCAATGTCTGATGCACAAGTAAGCTTTCCTGTTCCTGGACTGAGACAGAGCTGTTTTTGGCACACATTTATTATAAGCCCTCTTTTGTGATACAATCTGATTGGCCTGCAGAATATATCAAAGGCAATTACCGTCAACATAAAAACAGCAATAGGTTAAAACAATGCCCTCAGAGAAGTCGAATTACAACTTAAATAAAATTTCTGATTTAATATATCCAAACAGTTTAAGATAAATGCAAAACAGTATGTGCTTCCAAACATAAATAGTAGGGCAAAATAGTTTATTGCCTCTCAAAATACTTAGAACTCGGTTTACCTTTAAATATTAAACCCTACAAATTCAACATCTAAGAAAATCAATGAGAAAGTAAAATACTCTGGTGTACAGGTGTCCCAAAGCTCTTGTCTATCCCTACTCCTTTTTGCTCTATCCCCGCCCCTCTTCTCCAACCTGATTAAAAACCTAAAAAGAACCCAACTGAGAATCCCAGGGCCACATACTGGGCATCATTGTAGTTCCAGGGATCCTCCTTTCCTCAGGAGCATTCATTTCTAAAACCTTAATGACACTCTGTCACATTCTCCTGAAAGGGAGAAAAAAAGTGCCCTTCTAGGCTGTGTTCACTCCAATCAGTGACTTCTTTAAAAATGTTTTCACTGAGGTATCTTTGGGGCTTCTTTCAGACCTTGAGTCTTTTAGCAGCCTCTTAGTGTTTCAGGAAATATCTGTACATAGGAAATTACGAGAAATGCTCACAACTGCTCAGGGATTTTAAAAAAAAAACATATCAACTGCCTATATGTGTCTCCCATTTGCTATTTTAAATCTGTCAAAGCAACTTACATATATTCTCTATAATAAACTATTATCCTCAAAGTAACCTATATTCCATGTGAAACACTGTAGGAAAATAAAACTACAAATGAGCCCAAATAATGTATTCCACATATGATGTGAGCAAATATATTACTCTAACTTCTCCCTAACAAGAACAGTCTCCCCTCAAGTAAGAATAATATTTTCTAGAAACTTCCCATTCAAAAAACCTGGACAAATTTAGAAAATATATTGAGCTGGAACTCATCACTTCATTCTTAAATTGATCACTTGTCTGTTTGACAAAATGGGACTTTTATTTTCCTAAAAGAATTATTTTAAAAGAAAAAGTATAATGTCTTCTAAATGTAAAAGAAAATAGTCTTCAGTACTTTTTCCCCAAAACTGTCATGTTCAGAACATTCAATATAGCTATTTTAAATTCATCATGCTGAATTCACATAATTTAAAATCCAAATTTCTAGACACAATAAAATATAAAATACCTACACATTCCTCATGTGTTTCCTCCTAATTTATGAAATAAAAATGCTATCCATAGGCTCAATCCCATTTTTAAAAAATTAAAATATTAATTTATTACAAAACTATAAGCAAAAAGTAAAATTAGGACTTCATAAGTACTTAACTGGTTTATAACTACTAAACTAGATGTTACTATACTGGATGTTCTAAAAAAAGCTATTTTAACAGGTCTAGTTCACGTTTAGAATATATTTAGAAATTTAACTATCTAATAAATTTACAGTATATTAATATTTAAATCATATCAGCTGCACCCATTCCTCAGCAATGCTACGGCTTTAAATCCTAAATGATGGTAACATATAAAAAGTTTAAAGAAATGTGGACCTCACAGTGAACATCCTGAATTGTCCTGTCTCCAGAAAAAAAAAAAAAAAAAACTTAAACCCCAATTGGACCCCTATTACAATATTTCAGGGTGATCTACTTCCTGTCACTATGAACAATGATTCAAAACAAGCTAATTTAAAATATCAACCTAAACATTCTATACTTTTATTTCTGAAATTTAAGAAAAATATGAACTCCTCTAAGGTGAAAAAACTTGCCTTAAATATTTAATCCTTCCTGGCTTACGTAACTGGAGTCTCTAAAACAAATGTCTTTGAATGGCAAAATGTCTTTTTAACAGGTACAAAGCTTTTGACATCAAAATAAAAATATAAAATTAAAACCTTATGAAACTCAAAACCTGCCCTTCTAAACACATACTAGGAATCTAAGGAACCCAGTCTGAGAAACACTGCTCTGTACAAAATTAAAGAGCTTGCTGCCACAAGGCGAGACACTCTGTGCATGTATCTCAGTAGTTCATGAAGGCAAAATCTTCCCAATCCTGCACACCCGAAACTCTTGCCACTTATCTAGTTTCTTACATTGAAGTGTAGGACCTGTGAGAGCTACACCTGTTTCATCTTGTATGTAGCAGCATACCTTGCACAGTGACTCCCCTTGAACCCTTTTATTTTGGGGCTAAACAAATGGATACAAAATGAGGGGGGGGGGTTGTGATTTGCTGTCTAAGAATAGCTATTATATCTGCTCTGAACTATCATAGCAAATCAGTTTACACAGTTTTCAACTCAATGCTTATGGCATGCCTATGAGATTAAAACTACAGAGGCAAGTTCAGCTTTCCAGTTTCCTCCCCACTATGACCGAGTCTAAGATAAATGAAAGTCGGAAGACACAAGCATTATTAGCATTAGTGCTCTTACAGAGCATCTCTAAGAAAGGCAATTCATTCTTAAACTACAATAAGGAACTATGTACATATGTGTAATAAATATAATGTCAATAAAGTATTACCTGAGTGTGTTAGTTTTTTAAATTTAGATGTTTATGCAGTAAAACAGGCCTGTCTGAACCAACATATATAAATGACTCTTATGTATATGATAACCTCCAAGCAAAGCACCAATAAAAATAAGTAGAACTCATCAAGTACAATAAGTTAAAATAACTGTTTAAATGCTATAAATGTTGAGTTTGAGCTAAAAATTTGTTTTTAGAGAAAAACAACCCACAGTTATAATATACTCAAATCTTGGTGATTTTTTAAATAAAGTAATAAAAAACATTTCGTGAGGTTATTTTTAAACTTCATTATTTAAGTCAATTATTATTTATCTTTAAGAACTGCTTAATTTCTCCTAGATTGGTCTTATTGTTAATCCTAACATAACTGCTATGCCTTTTACAAAAGAAAAGTCATTTGCATTCCAAGAAATGTAAAAGCCCAAAATGTTAAAGCTCTGGATGTGAAATAAAGCCAGCCAACTGAAATAATGAATCTCTATATTCTACTTAGCCTTCACTCAATTTTCATTTACCTTACTGAGGTATTTGCTTGGAGCATTTTTTTCTCCTTCCCTTTTTATTCTTATGGAATAAATAAGAGGAAAAAACCTGTATCTCCACATTAGCCAAGTTTAGACATTGCTGAAAAAAAAAACTGACTTGGCTGTATCTGTTAGGCCTCACGTAATTAGACATAAAAACCAAGCCTTAAATATATGTAGTTTTTACAAGATGAAACTTTCTCGGAAATATTACAATGCTTATCATCCCAAGAACCCACATAATTGAAAGAAAAATTAATAGAAAAACAATTACTAACAGTTGACTATCAAATTGACACAATCACCAGCTGTTCACAATATTTTTTTGAGCGATGTCAAAGAGACAAACTAAGGAATCACAGTCACTGACTGAATTCTGGATATAATTCTATCATATACTTAAAATTGGCTGAACTGCAAGAAAAGTTACAGTTAATATGCTCTAAACTTTTAAAAATTACATTAAATTGTATGACCATATGATACTGTCACATTTTCACCATACATTCTTTCAAGATCTTTATGTCAAATCCCAATAAATCAAATGCAGGGGCTTTTAATTTTAAAAACCTATCCTTTTCAATATTAGATCTTTTCCCAAAGATCTTGAGAAAATCCCAAGCGGTTAAAAACTGCGTTTTCCTCTCTCTCTCAAAAAAAACTACTTTCCTATTTCATGAACATCAAAATACATGAGGAAATAGCTTCTTAAATGCTTCTTGTTATTTGAAAATATAGGTACCACATAGGTTAGTTTTCAAAAAGAGGGCGGGGTAAGTAAAGAGAGACATAGCTAGACAATATTAAAGCAGGCATACCATACGGTCAAAGTAAGATTTTTCACTTGGAAGATCTAAGTTCTTTTCAAATTAAAGGGGGCAGAATAAGTAAAGGGAGACACAGCTGCAAATAATACTGCAGGTATAACCACCCAAGGTCAAAAATAAGATTTTTTTACTTGGAGCAAATAAGTCTTTTTCAAACTTAAATTGGAAAAACATTATATAAACTTTGAACAAATCTGTTCATCAGAAAATTGGATACACAAAAACTAAAAATGGAAGGACCACCCATTATCTACGCATGAAGCCAATGGGACAGGAGGATCAGGCTGAAGAAAGTGTATGACCAAATCTAAATACTTCATAATTATTGGGTCATGAAATCCTGAATGCCCAATTCTATAATAAAGTAATCTAGATGTCAAAAAAAAACACACCAAACTAGCAGAAAACAAGACTTAGTACTATGATATAATTTAATTACAGTATACTAATCTAGGAGAAAATAATTCTTCTTAAGGAGTAAATTAAAATAGTAATTATACTTGCTTAAATATAAACATATATAATTTCTAATGTTTAAAAATAATTAATATCAAACGTGAATCAGGTTAGGGGCAAACTGTTACAGGTAAACACATATAGGCTATATACCATTAAGAAACAAGATGTAAGACCTACTGTCCTTATAAATGCCTACTGGTAAAATGACTCTTACATTTTATCTTGGAGTTACATCCTTTGCTTTCACCTGAGATTAATACCTCCAATCACTTCTTTCCAGAATCTTCCCCGGGCTTATCAATGTATTAAATAAAGAATGTTACTCAAAACACTTCAGTCCAAAAATAATTTTTAGGCTGACGTTGTAAAGCAACCACCAATTTAATAAGCAACTTAGAAATTGTATATACTCCTGTTTTCTGAATTCACAAGATTCTGCATTTTTACCTATTTACAGATGTATAAGGAATCAACTTTCAGGCTCCTTTCATTTAAATTAAGGTTTGTTTACACATGATAACTATATTCTAGAATTCTTATGCTCTGTTCTTAACAGCTCTATGTTTCTAACTCAGAAATCAAGTTTTCAAATTTCTGAGTTTTTTAGTACTCTGAACAATAATCACATACACAGCAAACTGAACATCATTTTAAGAATTATGTAAAGCAATCTGAATATACTTCTAAAATATGTATATTTTTTAAATAGTATTATTTTTTAACACCAAGAAAAAATGCAATAGAAAAAAAGAACTCAACAACCTACTTAACTCATCATCTTCCATACCGGTTTTCATTACGGTGCATTTTCAAATCAAAGTCTATCCATCTGAAAAAGTCGACTGCTTATTAAAGTTCTCCACGAATTTAAAAGCATTGCTATAAACTTTTCTTCAGTCCATTCAGAACCTTAACTAATCAAACAATGAAACAAATATTACAAGACGAAGGCTGACAAAAAATCATAATGAACCTCTCAGATGAGAAACTAATTGGTACTAAGTACACAATGGCTTACATTTAATCCTGTTAATAACCACACAAAAAAAGAAATAAAAGACTCACTTTTCAGTCATCTCTCTGGACCACTGGGCTAAAATAACAGCATGACTAAATCTGACATTGACCCCGTGGCCCTGCTAGGAGTTAAAAGAATTCCTTTGAGTCTTCTGAGGCCTGTTTTCAACTGCTCCAGAAGGGGTGGGCTAATCACACGCACTTGTTGGCCTTCTTTACAGTAACAAGTCAAATTAGAAATGGTCATATACGCTGTCATATATACTAGTCCATACCTCACAACACAAACATAGGAAGGAACAACAAACTAGCAACAGCTGGATGATGAAATACCACAAATGAATGAAATGTCAAAAGTGAAAATTTATCCTATTACTAAAAATAAATTTTTAAAACAAAAATGAACTTATCCAAATTTACTAAAAGATTAAAACTGAGACAAAACAAAAGCATGAATCAAACTTCAAAGAAAAATCTTGTGTAAAAATCGTTCCAGATTAATCATGAGAATTTTCAACAAGACTACAGAATTAAAATCTATTTAATTACTTGATAAAGTT